TTCCCCCTCCTTTCTCTCTCTTGCTCTCTTCCCCTCCTGTCTCCTATTTTTTTCTGTTACTCCCCTTTCCTCCCCCTTTCTGTCCCTCTTCTCTTTCCCCTTCTTTCTCCCACTTCCTTCTACCCGCTTCCTCTGCTACCCCTTTTCTTTGTCTCCCCTCCTTCACTCCCATGGCTGCCCTTGGTCTACTGAGGCTCTCACTGGGGTGTGCTGTCCCCCTCTCTGATGGTGCAGCTGATGGCCGAGTGATCAGGGTGCCAGGTAGAGTCCGCGACCCAAGGGCTGCCAAGGTGGGCAGGCAGCCTGGGGGAGGAAGAGGAGGAGTTAAGCTGAAGGTATGACCAGGTAGGCAGCACCAGGAGTTCAGATACGTGCCAGGAACATTTTGAGCAACCTGTAGCTTTGGGCTATGTCAAGAGTGGGTTTCCAAAACAGGCTTTGAATCAAGGGAACAATAGTCAGTTCAGTTTGGGAAAGGCAGACCTAGAGGTAGGGGCGCCCCAGGGGGCAACTCAGGGGACTGGGTGAGAAGACATGGGGAGGGGCAGCTAGTACCTTCTGACCCTAACTCCCTTTGGCAGCCTGAGCCCCACAGCTGCACCCGCATCCCTGGGAGGATCGGCCCAGTGTGGAAACTGGGGCGAGGTTGCCACATCCCTGCCAGTCCTGTCTTTGGCCCTCCAGCCAGCAGGGCTTCTCTTCTCCCACCCATTCTGTCCCACCACACACCTGCTTCCTGTTGGTATATCGATCGGTCAGCTGGATTTTAAAATGAAAACTCAGATACACTGTGACTCCAGACAGTATGTTAAGCTTGTACAAAAGGCACAGGACCTTAGTGGGAAGGTGGGGAGGTGCAAAACTGAGGTCAAGTGCCCTTGACAGGAAAAGCAGGTGAGCACAGCTCTGCAGGCTGTTCCGGGAGCTGCTCTTGAAGTGAGCAGGGCAGGGTTGAAGTGAGGGTAAGGCCCTGGAGGCCCAGGGCCCAGCAGGTAGAAACTAAGATCAGCTGAGGTCCAAGCTCTGGGGGAGAGTGAGGGCTGGAAAGAGGTGAATGAAACTCCACCCAGAAAAACAGAAACCAGACTTGGGGCTCCATGTGGGTCCTCTGGGACCACAGGTCATCACCCCCTGGGGGCTCAGCCCAGACATTCTTCTAATTCCATGTGACGCCCACCAGAGTCAGGACCCACACTGTGTGACCTCGAGCAGGTCCCTTGCCCTCTCTGTGCCCCAGTTTCCCCTTCTATCAAGGGAGGGTTGGAGCAGGATGTCTAAGAGCCCCTTCCAGCCTGATATTCTGGGGACTTCCGCACGGTGGGGGTCCTGGCTGGCTGACAGTGACGGGTGTCCCCTGCAGTGGAACCTCGTGTGTGAGAACGGCTGGAAGGTGCCACTGGAGCAGACGAGCCACCTCCTGGGCTGGCTGTTGGGCTGTATCCTCCTGGGCATGGGCTGTGACTGGTGAGGCGCTGCCCCTCCCCTTGAGCCCCTCAGGGTCCAGCTAAACCCCTGAGCTGTGCTGACTGGCATCCATGTGTGTCCCCCACTGCCCACCAGGTTTGGCCGCAGAGTTGTGTTTGTGTCCTCCCTGGTGCTGGCCACAGGCCTGGGGGCTGGTGAGGCTCTGGCTGCCAGCTTTCCTGCCCTGCTGGCCCTGCGGCTGCTTCACGGGGGGTCCTTGGCAGGGGCCTCTCTGGCCCTCTACGTGACGCGTGAGTACTGTGGGGGACTGGAGAGGGGCACCCACTCAGGCTAGGCCTCCAACCCCACTAGCGGAGGACGTCAGCCGCAGGGGGGGATTCCCTGTACTCTTGTTGAGGGCTCTTCTTGGAAGATGGAAGGGCACTGTTTGCTGTGTGACTCTGCTGTTTGCGGCTGGCTCAGGTGCTGGAGTGGGCAGGGAATTGGCTCAGATGTCCACTCCTGGGCAGGTCAGCAGTTGGTGCCCGCACCCTGGGACAGAGCAGCCCTCTCTAGAGGACTCGGCCTCAGGCCATCTCTACCTGCTCAGGCCTGGAGCTGTGTGACCCCCCACACCGCCTGATGTTCTCCATGGGGGCCGGCCTCTTCTCGGTGGCGGGCACTCTGCTGTCGCCTGGTCTGGCCCTGCTCGCACAGGACTGGCATCTTCTGCAGGGGCTGGGTGCCCTGGCAACAGGGCTCCTGCTGCTCTTTTGGGGGTAAGTATGGCAGGAGACAGGTCAGTAGCCTCCATGGAGGCCACCTGTCACTTCCCTCCACACCTCTGTGCGGCACCAGGCATGTGGGTGTGGGATAGGGGCACAGAAAGCCACTTGATGTCCTGACCCTGGTTTCAGGGAGGAAGGGCATTGGCCCTTGTCCCTGTGCGGAGGACCTGAGGCATCCTCACCCCACCCCTGCAGGTTCCCAGCCCTGTTCCCCGAGTCTCCCTGCTGGCTGCTGGCCACGGGGCAGCTGGCCCAAGCCAGAAAGATCTTGTGGCACTTTGCGGAAGCCAGCGGCGTGGACCCTGAGAGCAGCTCCGAGGAGGAGAGCTCCCTGGCTGCGGGTAAGGCACCAGGAGGAGCCAGAAGGGAGGCCTGGGTGCTGGAGGAGGACCCCCACAGACACACCCTCTCATGTTCTCTCATATCCATAGAGCTCGATGTGCTGTCTGCAGGGAACCCCCAGCCCCAGCGCCACTGGGTCCTAGAGCTACTGCACACGCGCGTCACCTGGAGAAACGGACTCATCCTGGGCTTCAGTTCGTGAGGAGAGGAGGGTGTGGGTGGCTGAGAGGGTCTGTGCCCCACCACCCCTTTTGGGGGTTCAGTCTCCAGAGTCCTGAGCTCTGGCTGAATCCATAGCTTTGCCCTCTCTCCCAGGTTGGTCAGTGGGGGCATGAGAGCCAGCTTTTTCCGAAGACTGGCCGCTCATGAGCTTGCCTTCTACGGACCCTACTTCCTGGGGGCTGGCCTAGAGGTGGTGGCCATCGTCTTCCTGCTCCTGACAGTGGATCGCTGGGGGCGCCGCCTGGTCCTGCTGTTGGGCACTTTGGTCATGGGCCTGGCATCCCTGCTGATTCTCTCAGGGGTCCAGTGTGAGTGCAGAGCCCTGTAGGCGAACAGGGTCATCCTGTTTGGCTGAGGTCAGCCCGACGGAGCGGGAGGGTCCTGGGATCAGCCCCTCCTCGGGTCATAAGAGAGAAGCACGTGTGTTGGGATGAGGCTACTGTCTTTGAGGGAGGGGAGGGTCCTGGGATCAGCCCCTCCTCGGGTCATAAGAGAGAAGCACGTGTGTTGGGATGAGGCTACTGTCTTTTTACCTTGTTCATCTTCCCACTGTGCACCCAGGGAAACTGAGGCCTAAAGAGTTAAGGGGCTACAAGGATATACATGAAGGGGCTAAATATAAGGGTCTGGTGTGGACGGGGGCAGCCTGCAACGCCTGATGCCAAACCCAGAGTGCAGGTGCAGGGGTGAATGGTTGGGAAGGGCAGGCCCAGCAGGACCCCTTGAGACATGGACGAGGGGGGAGCCTGGCTCCACTGGGCCTGGGCAGCATGGGACCCTCTCTTCATCCCCAGACCTGCCGGCCTGGACTGTGCTGTCCCTCTCTGTCCTGGGGCTGCTGGCCGCCCAGGGCGTGTCCACCCTCAGCAGCCTCTTTGCAGCCGAGATCTTCCCCACAGTGATCAGGTGAGCTCTGGGCTGCCCAGCCAGGACACACTGTGTCCTCTTGGGGTTGGACACCCCACACCGCTCCCTCCCCAGCGTATACCCAAGACTTCTCCATTCAGTCACATCTGGAGTTCAGATGGTCTTTTCCTGGGTGACATGGAGGATACTGGCACAGAAAGGTCAGGAATGGCAGATGGCCACCTGCCCAGGCTGCCCACACTGTACCCTCTCCTGCAGGGCGGCAGGGCTGGGCCTCGTGCTGGGTGCTGGGTTCCTGGGCCAGGCGGCCGCGCCCATCGCTGACATGCACGGCCGGCGGGGCTTCTTCCTGCTCCACGTGGTTTTCGCCTCTTTCGCCATCCTCGCCCTGGTGTGTGTCCTGCTGCTGCCTGAGAGCCGTGGGCGGGCGCTGCCCCAGTCACTGCAGGATGCTGACCGCCTGCGCCGATCTCCGCTCCTTCGGGTCCATCCCCGCCAGGACTACCTGCCCCTGCTGCCACCCTCCCACTGCTGGGCCCAGACACAGCTGGTCCAGGAAGGGTGACTCTGGCTGGACAGACACACCTCCCCTCAGTTGGCCACACGTCAGTGTGGGCAGAGGGGTCTCAGGGAGGAGCTGTGGGCTCAGTGTGAAGGGGGAGTCCTCGGTTGGGCCCCTTGTTCCTGGGGGCCCTGGCCTCCTCACCCCAACCACCACTTGTGAAGGATAAAGGCGTCCATGGAACTTGGCATCCTTACTGGTTCTTCCTTCTGGCCACATCCTGGGCTGAGGGGGTCCCCACTCCAGGCTCGCCCAAGCCAGGGTGCCTGCAGCCCCTCCCACCGCTCCCCTTGGGAGGCCAGTCCCCACTGCAGCCCTGGCGTGACTGGGGTGGAGTGAGGCACTGCAGGTCATTGTGCAGACCCTGTACCGGAAAGACACACTTTTAATTCACATTTGCTGGAGAGCTGCTTCCTTTCATACAAAGATGAAATCTGCATGGGGGTGTCGGAGCTGGGAATGAGGGTGGCTGCCCCCCTCACAGGTGACTCAGAGCAGTGCTTGTTGGGCTCTCAGGGTGGGAGAGGCACCTCCTTCCCACAGCTCCACTCCAGGCTCCGGGCTCTGGCCCTGGGACTCTGTCTTCCCCGGGAGAAGCAGGCTGCCCAAAGCACCTGGCATGTGGGACCAGGTGCCCTGCGGCATCTCTGCACAGGTCAGCCAGTCCTCCACGCTACACGGCCAGCTGCTGACACGTGCAGTCAGACCTCTGTGGTCAGGCTGTCCATCCTGGTGAGGATGTCCACCCTCTGTGTCCAATTGCTGTGCCCTCAGCAGGGTGAGTACAGGTCCCCATCAGAAAGCTCTGCCCTGTCCTGAGTGGCCACTGCATCCGGCCCTCAGGGAGGGCCGTACAAGTCGGCCAGCCGGGCGAAGCGAGGGCCCCAGTCCTGGAGGCAGCTGTAGTCTTGGTCCTCGTCACCCAGGCTGGAGAGGATGGAGCTCAGTGTCCCTGCCATGGACCCATCTCCTTCGTAGTCATAGATGAGAGCAGTGTCGTAGGGCGGGACGCTGAGGTCACTGTCCGCAGCTTCCAGGCCCTACAGAGAGGCCCCAGGAGTTCAGGCACATGCACCCCAGCTGCAGTGCAGGGTGAGGTCACCAAGGTATGGCACCAGGAAGGGGCAGAGGAGGTCTGAGGGTTACCGGGGTTTGAGGGGCAGCCCTGAGTGTACGGGCACCATTGGGAGCCCCAGTCCCAGGATTCAGATTTGAAAAAAGAAGGTTCCCTCTGATTCCTTCCTTGGGCCCAGCCCTCCCTGAAGACTGTCCTGCCTGAGGCTTCCTGACACCCCATCTGGAGAACAGTTGGTTCTGCCTCTTAAAGGTTTGGCTGTGGTCTGTTGCCTCCACCTGTTAATATACACATTGGCTTCTGCAGGTTGCACACTTGAACCTAGGCCTGCCCCTCGCCGGGCAGCTGTCAGGGGTGTTCTATGAGCCAGGGCACTACGTGTGCAGGCAGGTGTGGCACCTGGCACACTACTGGGAAGTACCTTCCTGCTCCCCCTGTCGCCCACTCAATGGGATTCCCAGGTTCTGGGCATCTCCTGTGTTGACCTTAAGAAGTCAGTGATGCTGTGTCCAGAGGAGCGACTATGGACGCCTGGGTTTAGCTGCCAGCTGCACTTCTACCTGCAGGGCTCATTACGTCTCCTCTGCCAGCGCTCGTGGCCAGTGCAGCCTACAACCAGCCCCAGCTCCATTAGGTCTACCGCGATCTTGTGCAGGGTGTCACGGCCTCCACTTCCCCGGGGCTTACGTGGCCGTGACCCTCTGTTCCACAAGCCTCATTCAGCTCTCAGGTCCTCAGGAGCTTCCCGGAAGCTCGGCCGGGTCCCCAGGAGTGAGCCCAATCCCTGCGGCTGTGCATGGACGGGTACATGGATGTACTTGTGTGTGGTGTGTGTGTGTGCCCCCTGCCCTCTCCACCCCTGGGGGACCTACATCGTTGATGAAGTCTGCCATGTCAGCGGGGCTGGTGGGCAGCACGCGGGATGGTGGGGGGCGCACCCAGCTGAACGGGGCGTCGCGGCGCAGCAGCGGTCGTCCCAGAGGGGCACTCAGGGCTGCCAGCTCTGCCGGGTGGCGCAGCTGGCTGATGTCGTAGGCATCCTGCGGACAAAGGGCGTGGTCTTGAGCCTGGGGCCAGGACAGGGTGGGGTTTCCATCCCAGGCACCTTTCTGAGAGCAATAGGTTTGGGGGTTTGGGGAGAGGATCTGGGAGGCCCCTACCCTTGGAGTCTGGGTGCTGGCCCAGGGCCACAGCTTAACGTTCTGAACCGCATGTTGTCCCGGAGGTCATCCTGCAGCCCTGGTAGAAGCCCCTTGTCCCATGGCTGCTGTCGGAGCCGTGAGAGGAGGGCCGCCGGCAGGGTGAGCACTGGGCAGGCAGACAAGGGTGAGGTTGGCTCCTGGGGGGAGGAGGCGTGGGCAGGGTGGGGGTCGTGGTGGGACTGAGGGCAGTGGTCTCAGGGCATGGGCACTCACAGAACAGCAGGATGACACTGGCTAGCACGATGCCCAGGGCGCCCAGGCTGAGGCCTGTGCCCTTTGCCCTCAGCGCAGCGGCCCCCTGCAGGCAGACGCCATCCTGGCCACAGTGGCACACGGTCACATTAAGGAGCTGCTCGCGATGCTGAGGTGGCTGCCCTGAGTCCTGGAGCAGCAGGCTGAGGCGGTGCAGCCCCTCCTGGACCTGGTGCCGCAGCCGCAGGCGCACATGGCTCACTGTGGAGGGCACCTGAGCTCAGCAGGCCCCTCCGTGCCCCGTGGGAATCATGAGATGCTGGGCCTGTTTCCCATCTGCCCACTGAGCGTGATAACTAATCCCTGCCCGACCTGAGGGACCAGCAGAACCACGTCTTGAGTGGCCCCCAGGTCCCAGATCCGGACACCCTCCCCCGGGCGGGGGGCAGAGCTCACTGTTAATCCGGCTGAGGCTCCAGTTCCGGGCCAGCTCTGGGACCCTGGGGCTCAGCTGGAAGTGGAAGGGGGCCCCGTGGGGGGGCAGGTCCTCGTCCGTGGCACCCAGGAGAAGGCCAGAGCCCTGGTCTGGCTCACTGCACAGGCTTCCAGATGAGGGGGACAGCTCGGGGGCGTGGTCATTGACTTCCAGGATCTCAATGGACAGGGTTCCGGTGGCCGTGCAGGGCGGGGAAGCTGCAGACGGAAGAGGCCTGTGGGCTCCTTGCCCTGCCAGAACCACTGCCCACCCTATCGTCGGCTCAGTTGAGGGCCTGGCTCCCAGCCCTTGGGCCAGCAGCAGGGACTCCCAGCCTAGGTCAGAGAGCCATGGAGCCCAGGCCTGCACTCAGTGCTCACCATCGTCGTAGGCCAGGATGATGGCCCTGTACCAGCCATCCTTGAGGAAGGGGGACGCCGGGCTGAGCACACTCTGCGTCTGGACCCAGCCTGTGGCTCCATCCACTTGCAGCCAGTCCTCAGGGTCATAATCCTTGGAGTAGCTGTCAGCCAAGGAGAGAAACAGGAACAGGGTGGCCCTGAGCTACATGGGACCCCCTCAAGGTGTGGTTACACATACATCCCCCACACTGTGCACACACACACACACACACACACACACACACAAACACCCTAGCCTTTGAGGCCCTAAGCTGGTGTTTTCTATCCCAATTCACAGATGAGGAGACTGAGGCTCAGGAAGGCAGGTGCGCTGACCAGGGCCCTGTGGCGACTGAGTGACACAGCATCACATCGATAGGATTCAACCGTGGACACGTGGAGACAGACACAGATACACAGGGCCGGGGTGGGGGTAAAGTCCAAGGGCCAGTCCCATGGGAGCACTGCTCGCCAGAATGGACAGGGCTAGACACCGTCTGTTCTAAGGCTGGTCAGAACAGACGGTGGCCGTGTCAGTATAGTCCTGCCCTATAGAACAAGTTCATACCAATATGTGCACACATGGGACCTGAGACCTCCTGGACTATTGGGAACCCTCGGGGCACAGGGCTGGGGTACCCTCAGCTGTGCTTCTGGCCCTGGCAGGGAAATGGAGGAATGGGCTATGAGCTCCCTCTGCTTCACCCCGAGGGTCCCCGGGAGGCACCTGAGCCTCTGCAGCTGCTGTGTGTCGGGGTCCCGGGCAGAGAAGGTGGCCACAGGGGTTCCTGGGGCCGCCCTCTCCGCCAGGCTGGTCCTCAGTGGATTCTCCTGGAACACGGGCGCCTCGTTGACATCCCGCACCTGCACGCTGACTCTGGCCTGATCCCGCTCCGCCCTGGGCGCAGCCGCCTGCAGGGGGACCTCGTTCTGCACCTCCACTCTGAGGTCGTACTGGTCACAACTCTCATAGTCCAGGGGCTGTGGGGAGGAAGCAGAGCTGGCAGCCTGCTCAGGACTCCGGGCCCCTCACGGTCGGGCACCTGGAGGCAGGTGCGGCCGGGAGAACGCCTCCATGTGGTGCTGCTGCCCCAGACCTGTCCTCAGAGCCCCCGCTCTCCTTCTCCTTTTCAGCCTTGGAAAAAGAAAACTTATGCAGGACAAAAGAAGGCACAGAAATAATGTAAATATGATCAAATAAGTACTCGTCACTCAAAATGAATTTGTGGGTGTTGTGTGATCAGTTCTGTGTTATTTGGCTGGGCGGTCCTCCCAGCGACTCATCTGGGTATTGACGGGAGAGATCTGGTAGATGTGGTTAAAGTAACTTCTACAATCAATTGGCTTAAGAAGATTATCCTGAACCATCTGGATATCCTGAACCTCACCCACTGTTGAAAGTCTTTAAGAGCGAAACAGATTTCTGAGGAAGAAGAATTCCGCCTCAGGACTGCAGCCCAGCTCTGAGTTGCCAGCTTACTCTGCAAACTTCAGACTTGCCCAGCCAGCCCCACAATGGCGGGAGCCAATTTCTTGCAATAAATCTCTTCAGATATCAATATCTAAATATATCTATATCTTTACGTGCGCGAATATACACATGTGTGTGTACACACGTGTTTCCTGCTGTTTCTCAGGTTCACAGGTACAGTCTGTATTCACACACGATTCTTATACAGCGTGGCAGCACACTGTAAACAACGCACAGGCCCTGTGGTCAGCGCGACCTGAGCCTGCACTCCCAGCATTTCCCGTCCTTTTGGCTCCATCCCTCCCTCTACTCTCTCCTGAGGATGCACAGGGGGTCCAAACAGGGTCCCAGGGTGCGAGGAGAGGCACCCTGTATGGGATGCTTGTGCTGGGGGAGTTTGCTCCGCTCACCTTCACCACAGACAGCACGCCTTCGTTGGTCTTGGGGTCTGTGCGGATAGCAAAATGCCCATCGGGGTCGCCCTCCAGGATGGTGAACCTGGCTGCCCAGTTGGGGGAGCCTGGCAGGTCCCTGTCCTCCACCTCCAGCCGCCCCACATCAACTCCACTCATGGCCTCGGTGGCCTCCATGAAGAACTGTGGGAGCCACTCCAGTTACCTGCCAGGTTGTCAGGGATGGGGCCTCCCTCCCTCACGCCTCCCAGCTGAGTGCTGCCCACCCACTGGAGCCCTCCCAGGTTTGTTTGCCTCCAGAGCAACTACCCCACCCCCTCCAGAGGCCCCATGAGCCCTCTCTGTGGGCTCAACTGCACATGGGTTGGGGGACACAGAGGGCTGTCTGGGCTGCTTCTCCCAGGGCCCCCTCCTGACTCCTGACAGTTCACTGATCACAAGCACCGTCTCTGTTGCCCCCAATTCAGTCTCTGTGCTACCTGTGCAGGACTCCTGCTCCAAAGCACCCAGCCTCAACCCGCCACGAAGCCCTGGTCCCCACTGGGCCTGGGGAGGGGACAGGGGGGCAGCCTGCGGGGCTGGTGGTGTGGGGACAGGGGTGGCACCTCCTCCCTGGTGAAGCCGGGGGCGTTGTCATTGACATCCTCGAGAGTGATGATGGCTGAGGCAGTGCTGGTCAGGCCATCTCCAGACATGTCCGCCACCTGCAGGGTCAGATTGTACACGGCGACCACCTGGGGATGACAGCGTGGGGTCGGGAGACTGAGCGGGCCCAGGACCACGTAAGGAGTGGGCCACCTGTGGGCTCAGTTGACACAGGAGAGCCCTGTGGGTGGCAGAGGCCCCAAGTGGCTCCAGGTACCCTGCCTGTTCCCAAGCTCTGGGGCAGGATGTGCTGCCTGGCCTCTCAGGGTCCAATGGCAGCGCTGTGAACCCTAGACTCTGCCCAGCCCTGGAGTGGGCAGGAGGTCAGTTGCCAGCCAGAGAAGCATTTACAGAGCACCTGCTGCGTGCTGGGTGCTGCGGGCACTGCGAGCTGGGTCCCTGCCATGGGTGGGGGGGGAGAGAGATGGATGAGGACCATCTAACACAGCAAGTGACCCGATAGAGCCACACAGGTGGCTGTGGAGAAACCAAGAAGGGCTTCCTGGAGGTGCGGACGCTGCACAGAAGCCCGGCAGTGAGAGGCAGCAGTGGTCCTGAGCGTGAGTGGTCACTGTGGGGCCCAAGAGGAGACAAGCACGACTGCCGAGTAGGCAATGGGTATTTTTGGCAGAAAAAACACCCTCTGAGTCCGAGGACGTGTCAGGGCCAGGCGCTGTATTGAGGGCTGTTCACACCCTCTCTTGACCTAACCCTACAACCACCCAGGAGGCAGGTGCGCCCCAAGCCGAGTCTGTGCCCAGAGCCGGGAGCCACCATGAGCATTTGCAGCAACTGGGGGCCTCCTTCACCTGCAGGGGAGGGTAAGTCTGGCTGAGCGGCACTGGGTCAGAGGGCCCAACTCGAAATGAGCTGCCCGTGCATCCCAAAGCACCAACAGGATGGGTAAAGGTTGGTCAAACAGGACGCTGGCTTCCCTGCTCCCAGTTTTCAAAGCAGCGCGGTGGTGCCTCACCTCGCGGTCCAGGCCCACTTGCACCGTGCGTATCTCCCCTGTGTGCTCATCGATGCTGAAGAGCTGGGGGCTGCCCTGCTCCAGGATGGAGTACCGCAGGGCCGCATTGTCCGTTTCTGGGTCGTCAGCATCCGTGGCCTCGGCTCTGGTCACATAGGTGCCTGGGAAGGACGAGGGCATGTGAGCAAGATACCCATGTGTGCCAACCCCTAACTTCCACTCCCCTGCGGCCCACCATGCCAGGTCCAGGCTCCTGGCTAGGCCAGTGCAAACGTGAATGTCCAAGCCATTGCCCGTGCTGTTGGTGGGGGAGAAAGCAGAAGTGTATGATACATGGTCAATCGATATCTGCGAGTCCCACAAGACACTGAGACGGCCTGGCAGGGGCCGAGAGCACTGGGTCAGAGGAGGTGAACCAGCCGGAGAACCCGGGGCTGCCCTGAGCCCCAGCTGCCTGGCAGTCAGAGGGTGTGCCGCAGGCCAAGCAGACGCTGTCCTCAGACCTACCTGCAGAGAGAGGCAGTGGCCGGGCCGGACCTGGGCTCTGGGGCAAACAAGCCACCAAATCTCCGGAAGGGGTGGGGGCTATGCAGGGGCCAGGAGGGGTGAGATTTAGGTCTGACCTCCATCCCCCATGGTCCATCTGAAGCACGACTTGCCTGGGCTCTGACCAAGCCCCTGAGAGCAGGGTGGGAAGAAGGAGGGAATCTGTCTGGAATGGAATCTGCCTGCCCTGGAACAGACTCAGACAAGCAGGTCTGTCCTGTAAAGACTCAGAAAGGACGGAGGGTTGAGTCTTGTTTGTGACCAGAATGTAGAATTAAGAAGCAATGAGAAGGCATGGGGTTTCCTTTTGGCGGATGACAATGTTCTGGAACCAGATAAGGTGCTGGTTGCGCAACCTTGTGAATGTGCTCAGTGCCACTGAAGCTCATTTTAAAATAGTTAATTTTATGTTATGTGAGTTTCACCTCAATTTAAAAGAAGCAGCGGCAGCCAGAGCTTTGCCATCCATGAATCCTCTCAATGCGTTTTGGAAGACTTGGGGGTTTGAAATGAATATTGAAATAGGAAGTGACTTGAGGAAATTCCATCAGTACTGGAAACTGTTTACTTATTTTTTTTTAAAATATATTTTATTGATTTTTTATAGAGAGGAAGGGAAAGGGATAGAGAGCTAGAAACATCGATGAGAGAGAAACATCGATCAGCTGCCTCCTGCACACTCCCCACTGGGGATGTGCCTGCAACCCAGGTACATGCCCTTGACCGGAATCGAACCTGGGACCCTTGAGTCCGCAGGCCGACGCTCTATCCACTGAGCCAAACCAGTTAGGGCTGTTTACTTATTTTTAGAATCTTTTAGGGCCTCTGAAATTCCTGCTAAAGGGAAATCCTGGGCTTCTGACCTACCCAGACCCCCTCCACGGCAGCCCCTCCCCACCCCACCCCCGCGGGTGGCCCGGCTCCCACCGCACCTGGCACAGCACCCTCCAGCACGCGCCCGGTGAACACCTCCTGCCGGAAGACAGGCCTGTTGTCGTTCTGATCCACAACCACAATCTCCAGGTCCGTGGGCTCCTCCAGGGTGGATCCTCCCCGGTCCAGGGCAAAGGCCCTGAGCTAGTCAACAGAGAGCAAGGACCGGCCTGTGAGCCCCACATTTCCGTGGCTCCCACAAGGGCCACGCAGAAGAGACGGCACGTGCAGACTTTGTTCTGCTGGAAACACCAACTTAAACAAATGAGAAACGGCCCAGGGTGGGGCATGTGCTGCAGCAAATGGACCTTCCCCTGAAGAGGCCACTGCTCTGTCCTAGCAGCCAGGGCGACCCCTGCCTCCCCTCTTGCCTTGGCCACCAGGACGCTCCCAGCCCAGGGGCTCGCATGTTTCAAGTGGGCCGGAAGCAATGCTCTCACTAGCAGTCCTGGTCTCTCTCCCTTTTTCTATGCAGTTTGGCTCCTCCTGGAGAGTATTTTAATTCACCTGTGCGCATGAAATTTTTAATGAAACCACCTTTTATCCTCTCAGAGCATGGCCATGACGTAACTCCCAGGGAAAGATGTCACTCTACCAGCTTCCGTGTGAGGAACAGTCTGAAGGAAGATTCACGACACATGAGGCACAGGCAGAGGCCCCTCCCCAGGCAGGTTCCGAACGACAGACCAGGATGGGGCCGGCAGGTCACTCTGCAGGGACTCAGAGGAGGGCCGGGCTCCCCTCCTCACCCTCTTGCTTATGTGGCTCCTGTCTCCCTCCCCACTGCCTTTCTCTCAGATCTCATTGTCTCAACCCTTCCAAAGGTCTGTGGTGCCTTCCCCTGGACCCCACCCCCGTGGTCAAGAGGCACCTGCCAGTGGGATTTGGCAAAACTGTGGGATTCTTCCAACATCCCGTCCCCACCAAATGCAGCGGGTGTGGGAGAGCTGGCTGTGGGTGACGAGGACGCCAGTATGGGGAGGTGCTTCCTTGCTGCAGGCTGCGGGTCCTCCTCCATGGGGCCTCAGGTTGCTCCTCTGTTAAATGGGACTCGTCCCCAATTCCCGCCCCTGGCCGCCAGTTAAGGGCGCCAATCTTGCCGGAGAAGTGATCTGGCCTAAGGTGCGCACCCGGAAGCGGTCCGTCTTCTCCCGGTCCAGCAGGGCGTTCAGGAACACCTTCCCTGTGAACTTGTCAATGGAGAACACGCCCCGGGGCTCCTCGTCCACGCCGGGGCCTTGGATGCTGTAGATGACGCTGCCCAGCTGCTGCTTGTCAGACTTGATCTGCCAGGGCAGGACATGGGCTGGGGGAGGTACCCCAGGGTGGGGTTCCCCCCCCCCACTCCTCAGCCTCGGCCCCTGCTTCCCGCCCCCGCTGCCACCCGCTGGGGTGGGCAGCTCAGCCTGTGGCCCTGATGGCATTCCCAGCCTAAAGCACATAGCTTTGGGGACCCACTGGGGACAACCACCCCTGCTCTGCCCACTCTCGCTCCTCCCCTCACCTGCACCAGTGGGTAGGGGAGGCGCTTGTAGTTCTCGGACACACTGATGGGGGGGATGACCCAGGCTCTGCGCACGCGGCCAGACGAGGGCACCCGGTGCCAGGGGAACAGGGTGCCGGGCCTTCTCAGCCCAGGAACCCCCAGTGAGAGGTCCAGGCCCTGCAACAAAGACACACACAGCCGTCACACAGCGTGTAGCCCAGGGAGCCCGGGGTGCAGGCTGAGCTACTCTCCCACCGGTGGTGGCGGTGGGCAAGTGAACTCCCCTCCCTGGAAGGCAAGGACCACCTTGCCCCACATCAAAACCCTGAGCTCAGGACCCTGGGAGGCCCCAGCAGCCACACCCCCAAGCCCGGGGCCCCACAGCTCAACATCTGTCTCTAGCCCTCTCCTGGGAGCCTTGGGACCTTGGAACCGGGAGTTACCACAGGCCTCGGATGACTGAGGGGCTGACCATGCTGTACCCCACCGCATCCTCCTGAGGGCCAGGCACCTCCCCCCAGCATGGCCCAGGGGCACCAGGGCTGGGGAGGCGTGGTATACGGGGAGGGGGAGAACCTGGGGTTGGGAGGGAGGCAAGTGATGAGTAATGGCAGCAGCTGGCCCAGCTGGGAGGCCCCTTGTTGTGGAGAATGTGGATCAGGGGGGCAGAGGGTAGGCAAGAGAGCAGGTGCCAGGGGCACTCCTGCGCCCTCCACATGGTGGATCTGCCCGAGGAGGAGGTGTGGGGGCTCCTGGCTGCAGGCTGGGGGCAATGGGACGTGCCACGTGGCCGTCCCAGACCCCCTCACACTTGGATCCTTGAGGATTGGTTGAGGTCGGCCTGACTAAGGCTTTTGTCAGAAGCAGCCCAGCGACAGGAAGGGGCTGGCTGAGGGCCAGAGCGCCCGCCATTCTGGGCTGGCTTTCTCCAGGCCTGTGGAACCAGGTGCCATTTTCACCCCTTAGCTCCTGGCACCTGGGGACCCTCGGACACGCGCCTCCCCCCTAATCCACACGTCCAGAGGACTGGGATGCCCTGTGTGCCATGCTGCCACTCAAGTCCCAGTGTCCAGTCTGGGGGGCGGCAGAGGGGGTTGAGGCACACGTGGTAGCCGTGCTCCCCCCACTCTGCCCCGGCGTGGGGGACATGCAGACAGGGTGCCAGGTCCTGCCCCATGGTGAGGCGGGCACCACCTGTTGAACTCTGGGATCAAAACAGGTGGGCCAGCATCGGGAGGGGCCCAAATGCTCCTCAGACCCCTGCCCGCTGTCTGTCACAGAGAGCCCCACCCTACCACTCAGGTGGGGAAACTGAGGCTCAAGAGAAAGTCCCATCCTGTGAGTCAAGGGCAGAGCTGGCAGCAGCCCCACACACCGCATTCCTCAGAACGGCCCTGGCTTACATATGAGGTGTCTACACATGCTGGCTGGCTTGAGTATGGACTCCTGAGTGGAAGTGCTGCGGAACCCCTCATGCTCCCCAAATTGTGGGTGAGGCTGATGTTGAAGCAGCTCTTGGATAGGCCAGGCCATGGGAGGGTGCATTTCTTACATTCTCCTGCAGCCAAACCCAGCAGGGCCCCAGCAGGTGCCTGGACCCTCCACCCCCACTACAGGCCTGGGAGATGTCTGCCTCCACCCAGGGTCTCTAGGCTCCCGGGCCCTTCTGAGGGGGCCTCTCTTCTAGTCGAGGCAGACCAGGTGGCTCCAACAGCCCCTCCAAGCCCTGCAAGACCCCCCACCAGCTGCTTGATCCTGCTAACTTCGCTTTCTCGTCCTCCCAGGCATGCAGTCTGTGGAGGGACAGCATGTGAGGGGGTGGGCTGGTGGCCTCAGGGAAGTAGGGTCAGTGTTTGGTGAGTGGGGGGTGCTTAGGGGCGGGGCAGGGGCAGAAGGCTGCTGGGCTGTGTAATCCTCTTGTCTTCAATCCTCATCGTGTGCCTCCCCCTCCCCGGCTTCTGCCCAGGGCTTGTTCCCTCCGAGCCCAGGGCCGGGCACAGTGGGTCCTCAGGCACTTTTCCTGACAGAATGGCAGTAACATCCAAAGTAAAGCCAGCCTCTCGGGTGGCCCAGGCAGTGACGGCGAACTGAGCTCGGCGTCAGCATTGTGAAAAGCCCTAACTTATCTCTGGTGCCGTGGCACATATAGACATTTTTTGGTGAGATTCCTGCAGCTCCACCCTCCAGGAACTCACTCTGCCTTGGGAGTACCCTGTGCCCAGGCTGCGGGCTGGGGGTCCTCCCGGAGGGACCAAGCCCCTCTCCACGTGTAACCATAGTAAAACAAAGACGTATATTTTTGATATTTATTTTATATATTTAAATGCCATTTAACAAAGAAAAATCAACCAAAAAAATGAGTTCACGTGTCACCTCTGACACGCGTGTCATAGGTTCGCCATCACTGTCCTAGGCCGCCTCCTCAGTTTTGGAGTCCTCCTCCCTCTGTCTCATCTAAACTGCCCGCAGCCGGTCCCCTTCGGAGCCTGGAGTCCAGGCAGCAGAAACCCGGTTTGCAGAAGGAACCGGGCGGCTGGCCAGGCTCTGAGCTCCCTGCAGCCGGACAGATGGCAGCGCTGGCCCCTGAGCCTCCGGGGGCTGCTTGCCAGAACCCCCCAAGCACAAGCCACTTCCAGGTTGGCGTGGTTTCCCACCACGTGGAGACCTGCCTGCCTGCGTCACTGTGCTAGTGGGGATAGCGTATGTTTTCTCAGCATCTGAGGGGAGCACCAAGCTCGAACCCCCCGTGTCCCTTTCCTTTCTTTCCCTCCCTCCTCCCCAGACCCTCTCTCAGCCCCCACAGTCCCTAGGAATGGGGTGATCACCTCATTTCACAGCTCCCCAAAGGCTGAGTCCCCATTTGCTCGAGGCCAGAGCACAGCAGAGCTGGAGCCACAGGGAACCTCGCTCAGGAACAGGCTCTGAAAGGAGCCCAGCGTTTACCTGGCGCCCTCCCTGCCCTGCCTTCAGCATGGGGTGGGGCTGGGCACAGTCCACAGGCGCTCCTTTCCGCAGGCTCTTAGGAGGACCCTGGGGGACACACTCAGCCCCGTCCAGCTGTGGCCACATCTGGGATGGCCCCTACCCCCAGCCCACCACAGCCTCTGTCTGCCCCCTTCCTGCCAGGGCCTCTCTGACACTCCAGGATGCCCACCAGCTGGGTGTGGGGCCAGTGCGGAGGAGGCAGAGCCTGGGAATCCTGGGTCCTAGTCTGTCTGGGCTCAAGGTCATGAGGTCAGCAGAAGCCACAGAGCCCTGGCCCGGGCCCCTCACCCAGATCAGAGGCTGCGGTGGGGGTGGCTGCGCTGACTTCCGGGCGCAGGAGCACTTCTCAGTGTGTCCTTTGTCTTCCCACGCCCCCTCCCAATCGATGTGCTGGCTGGGGAACTGTGGAACAAAGTCACACCGACAGAGCCAGCTCACACAGGCCCCCAGACACAGGCAACGCTGTTGAGTGAGGTGCTCACATATGCCACCCATCCTGCTGTCTCCCGTGCCAAGCCCAATGACACCCCATGTTTACCCTTGACCTGCCTTTAACCAAGGACCCGAGAGAACACTCTGGAAGCCCTAGAGACATCAAGGCCATTGCCCCTCACTGGGGTCCACCCCAGCACTGGCACCCACCCTAAGGGCTGCCAAGTAATGACGCTCCCACCGTGCAGAGCCCTTGCTATGACCAGGCTGCGTGGTGAGCGCCTCGCAAACACTCCTGCAGGGGCCAGAATGGTGCCGCCCAGCCCAGACCCTGCCAGGGCACAGGGCCTGTGAGCAGCTGGCCACCTCCTGCCCCGATGCTTCTCTGGCTGCAGGGAAGTCCCCACCCCACAGGATTGGTGATTCGACTCCTCCCTGGTCAGACAACACAGGCCACACTGTGGGGCAGAGGCACGTAGCACAGGCCAGGGGTCCAAAAGCCGACTAATCAAGTCACAGTGCGAGTGTGTGTGTGTGCATGCATGTGTGTGTGTGTGAGAGTGTGTGTGTGTGTGTGAGTGTGTGTGTGTGCGCGAGTGTGTGTGTGAGTGTGAGTGTGTGTGCGAATGTGTGTGTGCGCGAGTGTGTGTGTGTAGATAGGGATGCCATGAGGATCCCCCAGACCTACTGAATTAGGATACCCAGTAGTCACGAAGCCCATGTGATTCTTGGAAACACGGGGGAACGGGGCAGCGCTGAGCTGAAAGGTGGGACTCAGGGTCACACAGCCCTGATGTGACTTCAGCCCACGGGCAAGCCCCTCCGCATCTCGGGGGCTGTGTGTGGGGTGACCCAGAGCCTGTGGTGAGAGCTGGGGGAGGAGATCACTGCCGACATCAATTCCGTTCAGAAGCGATGAGAGACAGTGCCCGCCAGAGGCCTCTCGCCCTTTGCCAGTGTCCGTCCTGCCTGCGGGCCTGGGGCAGCCCCAAGGGCTCTGCTTCTCTCCATCAGCCCAGGCGGCTTCAAAACCAGGATTATAAGCAAGGCCCCGCTCTCCGGAGCCTGGGAAGAAAGCTGGGCATGTGGCTGGGTGCTCACCACGCTCGGCAAAGGCTGGGTGGAAAGTGAGGAGTCACCCGCCCCTTCCCCTCCTGGCACTGGGGCTTCCGGGGGCCCCTGGTGAAGGGAGCAGGGGACCTGGGCTTGGGCAGGATATTTTCTGACTGGGGTCCAGCCCCCGAGTCCTGTCCACAGCTGTGTGTCTTGGTTGGATAAAAGGGAGCAAACATTTTCCATCCCACTCCCTTCTGGTGCAGCTGGGCAAACCTGATAAAACATGGATGCAGCAGCAGCTTGGGGAGGGTCTGTGGGTGCAGGGGCATCCCTCCAACACTGCCTAGGCCCTAGGCCCTGGGTTTCTCAGATTCAAAGAACCAGACAGGAGGCCTGTAGCCTGGAGGGGCCTGGGCTGTGGGGGAGGCCGGGTGCCATGGAGGTTAAGAATCCCTGCTCTGGACTCCCCACAAGCCTGAGCCCCTAACCCCAGGCTGGAATCCAGGCCACCCCATTCCTGGATGGCCTGGCAAGCATCAGGCATGCCAGGAATGGGCCCAGCTGTCGGCCTGGCCCCGAGCACCCCTGAGCTCCCCTCCAGCTGCTGCAGGCTCTAGGGAAGGAATGAGACGGTCAGGCAAAGGGCCGTGGGAAAAGCAGCCGTTTCCTCTGCCTGCTCCCGCTGCTGTGACAAACTGCCACTGTGCCATCCAGCATCCAGCCCCCCTTGGAGGGCCACTCCCCAGCTGCCACCCTACCCTGCACTGGAAGGGTGAGCGTCTGCTGTGGGTGCCATCTTGTTCTAGGCACTTTCCCCCTTTGCCCCTGGGGCGTCTTCCACTTTGCAAAGCCAC